TACCACATCGTTTCCTTCCCTTCACCTCTCTATTAATGTACTTAGACACAGAGCTCTGTGAACAGCCAGTCTCTTAAGCAATGGCCTTTTGTGTCTTGCCCTCCTTGTGCAAGGTGTCAATGGTCGTCTTTTGGACAACTGTCAAGTCAGCAGTCTTCCCCATGATTGTATATCCTGCAGAACTAGACCATGAGAGACCATTTAAAGGCTTTTGCAGGCATTTTGAGTTAATTAGCTGAATAGATTGTGGCACCAGGTGTTTTCAGTATTGAACCTTTTCGCAATATTCTAATTTTCTGAGATACTGAATTTGAGGGTTTTATTAGTTGTCAGTTATAATCATCAACATTAAAAGAATAAACATTTGAAATATATCAGTCTGTGTGTAATGAATAAATATAATATACAAGTTTCACATTTTGAATTGAATTACTGAAATAAATCAATTTTTTCATGATATTCTAATTTTATGACCAGCACCAGCATGTATACATGTACACCTTGCAATATGTTGACTTTCATTTTGGTATGTGGCTGCGTCTAGGTGTAAGAAAGGTCACAATCGCAAATTGGGTTGGTGCGTCAAAACTCACGATAGCCACAGCTATAAATATACATATGTGTGTTTGGGGGGCTTTCTAGTTTTTATTTTGTTTAAAAGTTTCCATCCATCCAGAGATTTAGCACAAATTATAAACCCTTGAGAGTCACGAAGGTTAATCCAGTCGAGGTCATTATAAAAGGCTGATAATGGGAATAAAATCATAAAACATTTAAAATTTGGACCAAAATAAATGGTTGGACTGAACAGCACAGAGACTTTACAATCTTAAAGTGCCTCAGCGGCTCTCGTGGTTAGAGTTCTGGTTCAGCCCGAGCTCAGCCCTGCAGCAGAACCACCGTGGCTCTTTTTAAAAGCCTGCATCGTTCTGCAAAGATAAGGGGCTCTGCTGCTGGGTAGTCATTTCCTGTGTGAGAATTTAAGACAAACGATTGTTCTTGTTCTCCCTTCCCTCCTCCACCACCTTACCCTCCCATGATTATGATCAATTATCCCCTCGTAATTAGAGCCTGGCAGTAAGTCAGCTTATGGGCTCTGACGTTTTATGTAATGGCCTGTAATAATGTTGTCAGTCACATTTCATGCAGTCGACGCACTCCGGCAGGCTTCCCGAGGAAATTTCTCCTTATGTTTCACAGGTTTTGTGATGGGAATTTATCTGTCAGTTTTATATTCTTTCATGTGAAATGCGTTCGTTGTTTTGATCCATGAATCCGTCCTCGTAAAGAAGGTTGAACTGAGCCCACTGAGCACCGTGTACAAACACAGCTGCTGCTGGTGAGCATAATAAAGATGATCTGTGCTCCTCTTTCTGTTTGACTCGCTCCTCGACCCAGTTCGGCTCCAGTTTAAACCGTCTGAAGAGACACTTCCTGTTGTGTACCCAAGATCCTTGTCATGTGATAGCGTCAGCCGAGGTGGGTGCGTGAGGCTAGTGTGGAGGGGGTGAGTGGCAGTGCTGATCTTGCTGATGTGAACACGACTGCCCACCCCAACCCCCTCCCCCTCAGCTACCACCCTGATTGTGTAAAGTGTCGACTCAGCCGCTGCGGCCCCCCTTGTCGTGCACTGCTCAGGCACAACCACAGTGCAAACACTCACGTATGAAGAGCACAGAACTTGATAATAAACCATCTTAACTCAAGGCATCTTATCAGTTTATGGTTGAGTGCTTCACCTGTGTGTTCTACAGTAAATAAGTAACACAGGGAAATCAAAAATACTGATTTTTGATTTATCTTACCAGGTTCTTTGCAGCAGCTGATAAACCAGCATTTTTTTGTCCCACATCGCAGAGCGACGAGGGGGAATTGGAAATACTCTCAGGCCGTCCATCCATGCATGTTGTATGATAACTTGAATAATAAATGTGATACTGATTTCTATTTTTGTGTGTAGCTACATCTAGGTGTAAGAGAGATTCCTTTTGAAAATTGAGTTGCCAGGTCAAAATCAAAGATGGCTGCCGCCATAAATGTCATAAATGTCCATCCATGTTGTGAGCCTGTTAACTTGAAAAATAAGTGAGATACTAATTTCTTTTTTGATGTGTGGTTACATCTAGATGCAAGAAATGTTCCTTTAAAAAATTGGGTTAACAAGTCAAAATCCAAGATGGCTCCCACCATATATGTATACATGTAAACCTTGTTCAAGGTTCTTTATTGTCATTCGCATCACATGTGGTACATGAGGTAGAACAAAATTGTGTACTCAAGGTCCCAGTTACAGCCAAATATAGTAAAAAATAAAATTAAAATAAAATAAAAAAACAGTATACAAGGATATAAGATATACGCTAAACACTAATAATGTAAAATAATACGGTATATTAAACAGCAGCCTGAACATGAGTCTGTAGTGAGTTGATGGGTATTCAGCAGCATGGTAAATGGACTGTACTTATATAGCGCCTTTCTATCTTATCCAGATACTCAAAGCTCTTTACAACACAATCTGTGTCCTCATTTACCCATTCATACTGCACTCTACTAGATCTCTACAAAGCTAATTGAACAAATCATTCTAAAGAGACTAATCAGAGCTTTAGCTCACATTCATACACTGATGGGACACATCAGAGGCAATGAGGGGTTCAGTGTCTTGCCCAGGGACACTTCAGCATGTGACTGCTGGTGGATTTGAATCCCCAACTCTTGCATTGGAGGACAACTGCTCTAACCACTCAGCTACAGCCGCCCTCATGGATAAAGTGACATATCACCAATTAAAAGTGGCTTTACAATGATTTTTCTGTTTAGGGTTTTATGAGTCTAACAGCTTCAGGATAGAAGCTGTTCCTCAGTCCAGTGGTTCTACACTTAATGCTCCTTTACCTCCTTCCTGAGGGGAGCGGGGCAAAACGTGTGTGTGCTGGGTGAGCGGAGTCCTTCATGATGCAGGTGGCCCGCTTCCTGCATCTAGAGGTATAGATGTCGGTGATGGTGGGGAGGCTGACTCCAATGTCTTCTGTGCAGCCTTCACCACTCTCTGCAAAGCTTTTCTTTCTGCAGCTGTGCAGCCTCCATGCCACACATTGATGCTGGAACACAGGATGCTCTCCACTGCACACCTGTAGAAGGAGGTGAGGACTGAGCTTTCCAGACCAGCTCGTCTCAGCCGCCTGAGGAAGTAGAGTCTCTGATGAGCTTTTTTGATCAGGCTGGTAGTGTTTTTGCCCCAGCTGAGGTTGTTAATCAAGTGTACACCCCAGTACTTGTAGCTGGAGACCACTTCCACCACAGATCCTCCTATATTTGAGGGTAGGGGGGTAGGTGTGTTTGTTTTGTCTGAAGTCCACAACCATCTCCTTTGTCTTCTTCACATTGATGTGATGGTTGTTCTTCCTGCACCAGCTCTTCAGGTGTTCCACCTCCTGCCTGTAGTTGGACTCATCACTGTTTGTGATGCATCCCACCACCGCTGTATCATCTGCAAACTTTACAATATGACAGCCTGGATGGGTAGGTGCATAGTCGTATGTGAGCAGAGTCAACAGGAGGGGGCTCAACACACAGCCCTGAGGGGAGCCAGTGATGAGGGTATGGTGGAGGAGGAGAAGTTGTGGATCCTCACAGACTGTGGTCTGTTGTTTAAGAAATCCAGGACCCAGCTACATACGAGGGGCTTAGTCCTAGTGTGAGTAGTCCATCCATCAGGGTCTGGGGGATCATGGTGTTGAAGTCAGATGTGAAGTCCACAAGGAGCATACAGATGTAGGAGTCCTTCCGCTCCAGGTGGGTGAGAACAGTGTGGACCACAGAGGATATGACATCCTCTATTGACCAATTATTTTGGTATGCATACTGGTGAGGGTCCTCGCTGATGTCAATGTTAGATTTGATGTGGGCCATGACCAGTCTTTCAAAGCATTTAGCGACTATCGAGGTGAGGGCTACTGGCCAGTAGTCATTCAGACCAGTCACTGCAGTGCTCTTATGAGCTGGGATGATGGTGGTGGTCTTCAGGCAGGTGGGAATAGCACTTATGAGCTGGAAAACCTGAAAATTACACAATGTGCTGACTTCCATTTTGGTGTGTAGCTGCATTGATGCATAAGAAAGGTGACTGTCGAAACATGGGTTCCCAAGTCAAAATCCAAGATGGCCAATTCCATATATCTTTTCTTACCCTTGCTCTGCCATTATGCTTGATTGTGGATAAAATTGCTCCTTCTACTTGTTAGGATCCATCACACTGGACAAGCAAGAATAGTACCTTTATACTTATACGCAGTGCAGCTCCTAACCACTTGAATATTGTGACTAAAAGAAAAACTAAGTTTTACTTGCATTCCTTGTTCAGTTACACTTCAGAAAAACATTTATCAGCAACAGGGGACACTGGCATACCGCTTGTTGCCTTAGCAATAAAACTATAATATCATGGTTTCATAAATAGCATTATGCAGTAGATGCAGTTAACCAACAATACTCACCTACCATGGGTCCTAAATTACTTTCTATTTAAAGATTATTTAAATCATTACATTATCTGAAAGGTTTGTGGATGGTGTATTTTGATCCAGTAGCAAACTGTCTGAAAACTAAAGTATTTCTGAAATTTTACAGACATATCTTTTCCTTTTGTCTCCTTTTCACCTTGCAGGTTCTGCCATAAAAAATGAGGATGAAGCGAATGGAATGAAAAGCAAAAGAGTTGTGGATCAGCTTCTTTAGTGCCTCCAAAATCTCCTCATTGATGATGACACTGAGTGCTCATGTCTTTCTGGAAAAAAGGTCCAGTCCCACTAGTTTGTCCTACACGTGACCAGTGTTTGCCTAAAATCAAATGAACTGCAGTTTTTTTTAGGTTTAACTCACCAAAGAGCGTGGTGTCCTGTGAGTGGACTTTGCTAAACCAGCTGCCATGTTAGCAGGTTGATAGCTAGATGATTGAACATTTAAAAGATTTTAGCTGACCAGCTAAAGCACAAAGGACATCCCTAGATGCACATCTGCAGATAGCAGGAGGTTTAGTGTTTTGAGGCTTCTGAATGACCAGGTGCACAGGCTGATTTCATTCGTACCATGAATCCGAGAGACAGCGTGGAGGTTATGGAGACCAAGACAGGAGATTCGAAGGAGAAGCTGATTGGAGAGAAAGCCATTCCCGGAAACGACATCGATGGTGATGACGACAAAATCCCCGGAGCTTTCACCTGCAACATCTGTGGTCGCAGCTTCCCGTTCCTTAGCTCCTTGTCGCAGCATATGAGACGCCACACGGGTGCACGCCCTTACAAATGCCCCTACTGTGACCACAGGGCTTCTCAGAAGGGCAACCTCAAGGTTCACATCCGCAGTCACAAACTGGGGACGCTGTCTAGTCATCACTCCAATGAGGACGAAGAAGGTGGGGCAGAGGAAGAGGAAGCGAAAGTTTCGGAAGGTCTCAATGGAAGCACAAGTCCAACTAAAAGCAGCTCTGCCTGCAACAAGGTGGTCAGTGGGGATAGTGGTGAGGAAAGCCGGAGGAAATTGCCTGCAAGGAACTTGAAAAGAGAAAAAGTTGTCACCAACCAGCGGCCTTTCTGTTGCCGTCTGTGTGGCTATGAGGCCCAGCGGGAAGACCAGCTTCTCAGCCACATTGAGAAGGTCCACATAACAGCAGACACAGAAGATGATACCTTCACTGTAAAGGAAGAAGAGGTTACTGAATCCGACACCATGCAACCCCAGGGTGATGGGACGTTCCCCTGTGAGACCTGTGGCCAGGTCTTTGCCCAAGCCTGGTTTTTGAAGTCGCACATGAAGAAGCACGCTGGAATACTTGACCACTGCTGTCGAATTTGCGGAAGAAGGTTCCGTGAAGCTTGGTTTCTAAAATCCCACATGAAAACACACAACACCAAAGCTAGGTCTCGCTCAAAAACCGATTCAGCCGAGCCTCCTGTCACCATCAATAATGTAGCCCAGGATGCTGAAACATTTACTGCCTTTGTTACATCTGTCTATCAAATGTGCTCCAAATGTGGGAACATTTTTCACAACAAAGAGAGCCTGAGAGCTCATGATAAAGTTCACAGTCAGAACTCTGGCAAAAAATCTCCCATCAGGTGCTGGCCCGGTGATGACGAGGACTCACCAGCTGCTAAGAGACGTTTCCTTGAACACTTCAACCTCCAGTGTGTTGAAGATAAGGCTCTAAATGAAGAGAAGGACAGTGAGAAAAAGGTTCTTGGTCAAAAAATTCCAGAGCTGGATCCAGTTTGCAGCTACCAGGCTTGGCATTTAGCCACTAAAGGAAAGATTGTGGAGCCAGTGGAGCCTATTAACAAGGCCGCCTTTGGAGGGGCAAACATGGTGGATGAAGCCCTTTCTGAAGCGGCTGTGGTTTTTGAGAAGGAGAGCAGCCAATATGTCTTGCAAAGTCAAGAAAAACGCAACTCGGGAAGACGCAGCAGCCATACTTCATCCAGCGACAGGACGCCAGAGAGCCTCAGCGACTCAGAGTATCGACCTTCATGTCGCCAAGAAAGACGGCGATCGTCCCAGTCACAAGCCTCCTCCACTAAGGGCAATGAGTGCTTTGAGTGTGGTAAGATGTTCCGCAGCCGCCACCAAATGATGGTCCATCAGCGGGTCCACAGGAAGGATGGGGGCAGGGCATCTTTTGGAGACAAGGAGAGAACCACAAGGGATGAGCAATGGGGCCCTGCCAGCGATCCAGAGTCGGGTTCCCCCAGCCGACCCAGCACCCCAGGGTATGGAGACTCCCCACCTGCCTCAACCCCGGGAGAACAGGCTTCTGAGATGGGTACCTCAAACTCTGAAGAGCTTGCAGGTTAGTCAAGAACTTCTTTTACTTTCTTTATGTACATAAATAAGATAAACGAATCTTAAAAGGATTTCAGACTAGTTCGAACTACAGTAGTCCCTCGTTTATCATGGGGGTTCTGTACCCCCCCCCCCCCAGCGATAAGTGAAAAACTGCCAATTAGGGATACATTAGTCCAAGTTCAAGAGGTCCTTCCTGCTCATTGCCATCAGCATCTACAAAAACTGAAACCAGGATGATGAGCTACAACATTTAATTTCCCTTTGGGATTAATCAAGTATTTTTGCATTGAATTGAAGTTCAGTAAATTTTGTCATGGCATGTGCCAGGCTGTAGTCACACTCACTCATCACCTGTTCCTCTCAGTCTCCCTCCTTAAATAAGCAATTTTAATTTAAATACTGTAACATTTTAAATAAACAATCCATACAGCATGGATTGTTTATTTAAAATGTTACAGTATTTAAATTTAAATTGTAGAGAAGAGAAGTGCAGCAGGACATCAGAGGGTTAACCCTTCACGCAGCTCTGCAGCACGGAGCAGAAATGTACTTCTTGATCAATTACACTGAAACAGCTGAACATAGAAGTTCTAAAATAATTACAACTAACTTTTCACACTTTTATATTTTTTGATTATGATGATTTTACAAAAGTGGATCAGTGCAGCTGGACAGCAAAGGGTTAACCTTCACAAAGCTGCTGCAGCAGGAGGGAGCTTCCCCCTGCCCCTGTGGGCTGCACACAGGTGCAACAGGTGCTAAATCATTTTAAATTATTTATTTTAAATAAACAATCCATCACTCATCCATTAATCAGCAAATTGTGTCACGTCCAGTCTTACTTTGAAAAACCGCGATCCAGTGAGTCTGTGAAAAACTAACCGTGAAGCAGCGAGGCACTACTGTAGATACATAACTTCTATCATTTGGTCATCAATATTTTTAAGAAACATTAGTTTCTGTGGTATTTTATTTTATCTACTAAGTTTTGTTTTGGTGACACTTTGGCTCACAGATGTCATTGTTGCTGCCAAATGTTTGTCTTTCCTGGTTCTGACTCAACTTCCCAGCATGAAAGAATGTGTTTTGTTCCTGCAGGAACAGCCTCTGCAGGATTTTAATCCTCCCACTCTGTAGTAAACATGTGTTCATGAAAGGTGCTTTGTGAAGAAGCTCCTCTGGTTTATGATATGCAAACTGGAGCCTCCATGTGGACAAATATCAACCGTACATCGGTGTGAGAGGCCGCTGCATACAAATACTGGAGGAACGCATCATTTTATGGCTCCATTTCGTTTCATTCTCTGTGTATCTGTAAAGACAGGCCCTTGAGTCAGGGCAGTGGAGAGCACAGGCTTGTTGGGATTGTCTCGTTCTTCCCAGTTGCTACAGATGTTCAAAAATAGCAGCAGCAGCATTTCTGCAGGCCGGATCGAGCTGTGAGCTATTTCAGGTCTTCCTGTCTCAGGAACACCCCCCCCCCCCCCCCCCCCCCCTCCCGCCGTCCCCCAACCCCCCCGCGGGGCTCTGATGTCTTTC